GAGCAACCTGGGCTAGTGGAAGGTGTCCCTGCCCAGGGCAGGGGGTGGGATGAGCTGAGCTTTAAGGTCCCTTCCAACCCAGGCCATTCCACGATTCCCTGATTCTCTGATCACCCAACAATGCCCTGGGCTCCAAGGGAAGGTGCCCACTCACCAACACCTCAAACTGACGACAGAACATTAATAAAAGGCCACCCAGGAGTCACCAAAAGCCACTTTCAGCACATGTGGAACTGAAGTGTTTTCACCATTTAAAGTCACCCCAAAATATACAACCCCCTACAAAGAATAAGTCACCAGAATTTCCAATGCACGTGTCCAATATCCAATTATGTACGTGACAAACAACGTGTGAACCCCCCCAGCAGTGCAAACCCCCAGGATTAATGGTCATTACAGCTCAGGGAGAGAGGCAACCATGTTCCAAAACACTGCAAACGTGCCGAGCTGCAGAGGGACACCGAACATCTGGCTGATCCCGAGAACAGCAAAAGGGCTCCCTCTGGAGTGGATCCCGAAATTAACACAGGATTCGGGTTTGCACAGAGAAAACGGGAATGGGCGACAAAGCCAAGGCTTCCCTGTCTCTGTCAGCTCACAACTCCTGCTCACAGCCAGCACCCCGGGGCTCCTTCAAGGAGACTCTGCCATGGCTGAAGGACACGGATCCATGCCCGGAATATTAAGTCATTAATTAGTTTTTCATGCATGGACTTGCATGTGGCAAGGAGGCAAATTAAAGGTTTCCTGAAGAGACAAGAAAGCTTTCTTAGCATGTGAAACACTCCAAAGGATCCCCAACGAAACAAATCGTGAAAGCCAGCTGAGAATCCCCCGTTTTCAGCCCTGGATGGTCATGCAGGATTCCAGGAAAGCCTCGGGAATCCAGCCACCGGTTGTGCCCCCGCGGCAATCAACTTCATTTGAAAGGGAGAGAGGAGTGGCTTTAAGGACATACACCAAACATGCTCTACTGGAAGCTGATGGAGGCTGTTTGCAAACCCAGGAGAGAGAAAGGCCCCACAGCCCCACGGTTTATTTGCATACCAGCCAATTAACAGAAAATGGATTTCATGCAGGAAGAAAAAAAAAAAAGAGTCAGATCACCTACAAAGTGAAGTCAACTTACTGCCTGCTTTTGCTCTTCTTCCTAGAGGTGTTGGCAAAAGAAAAGGGCGAAGAGAGAAAGAGGAAAGATTAATTATCACATGAAAATGATAATTTTCACACAAAACACACAACAGCCACAGTGAAAGGACAGAACACGGGGACTGGAGCAAACACCTCCACGCACGACAGGAACTGAGGATGTGGGGTACAGGGGCTCCCCGTGGCACAGATCTGCCTTCACAGAGCCCCAAAACTGCCACAGCCCCAGGGGAAAAACATCACCCTTCTGGTTGGTTCCCACTGGGCATTCCAGGACCTCTGCCAGCGGGATTCACGAGGGCAAAGCCACCAGGTCTGGAATGGGACACGGGAGGGAAAGGCAGCAGAGATGCTGAGTCAGGGGAAAGATGCAGAGAAAACAATTCCTGCCCTGCAGTGCTTTTGTCAGTACAGATCCCTCCTGATTTGGAAGACAAAAAGAGGTGAAATTTGGGTGAATTTATCCCCTTTTGGAGCAGGGAAATGTCCCCTCTGATCGGGCTGGGCAGGTGGAGGCACATCCTGCCTTCAGCTACAGGAGAATTCCTTGGAATGAGCAAAATGTCCCACAGTGGGGAGTTTCTTTCCTAATTCAGACACTCCCACAGACAACAACCATCACTCTGTGCTCTGACAGAAGGGCTGGAGCACAGTCCTGGTGACTGTGACCCCAAACCTGGTGACCCCAAACCAGCAGTGACAGCATTTCCAGGTGACTGGCACAGACCCCCAGCACAGAGGAGCCCCCCTAAACACGTCTCCCCAGAAATCCAGGTCAGGGAATTAAAATTCACGGGATAAAAGCTCCTTCTGGCCTTGAAATCCACGGACCCATTTATCCACCTTCCCTCCCTGATCTCCCATCTGAGCAGGATTAACCAGAACCTTTCCCTTAATTTAAAGCAGCTTCTTTTCACTGACCACTCAGAGCTGGTTTTTTCCCTGCTGTGCCCTGCAGACAAATCTGGGAGTGGCTGCAGAGAACTCCACGTTTCCGAGCAGACACTTTTGGTTTTTTTCTGGTGAGACTCAGGGCTCCTCCAGGTGTGTTTTCAGCTGCTGCTGTGGCAGATGTGGGGTCTGGCTCCACTCAGGCTCAGATCAGCACCAGCTGAGGTCAGTGCTGCCCTCCCCACATCCCACACGCTCCCAGTGGTTCCTCCCACCAGCGCTGGGACTCGCAGGACCAGATGGGGAGCCGGGCCAGGGAAAAGATCTTCAGCCATCTCCACTCCACAAAAAAAGCTGCTAGTTTGAAAAATGAGGCTTTGGCATTAAGTGCAGATGTGAAAACACCCTCTCAGGAGGGACAGGGAGCAGATAAATCACCGGAGCAGCCGGTGAGGAAATTGCCTTTGAGGAAATGGAGGAGTGAAAGGGGATCTGTCTGCGGGATATCCGTGCAGGGAGAGTGATTCCCTGTCCCCACGGAATGCTGCTCAGAGCCAGCCCAGCTCAGGGCACCTGGGCACTGCAGGGGAGCTCAGCAGAGAAGGGAGAGCCAGGCCAGGGGTCTGGAGAGAGCCACAGGATCCCAGAATGGTTTGGGTGGGAAGGGACCTTATAAAGCACCCAGTGCTGCTCCAAGCCCTGTCCAGCGTGGCCTGGGACACTCCCAGGGATCCAGGGCAGCCACAGCCTCCCTTCCCTCCCTTCCCACCCAAAGCAGTCTGTCATTCCATGACCTCCTGTGACTGGGACCCCCAGCAGGAGTGTCCCGGGTCAGTGAGGGGATGTGGAAGACACTGGGTGCAAACCCCAAGCCCAGCCCCAAATGGCAGTGGCTGTGTGGGCTCACAGACACCAGAGCAGGACACCCCTCATGGGGGTCACTGACCCCAGCAGCCAGAACAGCCCCAAGTCACAGAACATGGTTTGGGCTGAAGGGACCTGAGACCTGGGCCCTTCCCTGCCCTGAGGGCAAACATCACAGCATGGGAAAAACAGATGAGCCTCCAGAGGACAACTGTGGCCTTCCAAAGACAGGCTTTCATGGAATCACGGGATGTCCTGAGAGGGGAGGGACCCACAGCGTCTCCTTTTCTTCAGAGAGGGATTCGAGGCCCCAAACTCTCAGACAACCAGAGCTGGGCAAGCTGAATCCAGCCCTAAATGGTGAAATGAAGGCAGCATTAAAAATGTAAAAAATGCTGCACAAGAAAATGGAAAAAAAAAACCATAAAAGCTTTAACAGCTGATGTAAATTATACATGAACGTTTCTGAGGAACACCAAATGATGAGAGGAGCTGAAAACCTTGTGGGGGGAAAATCGTGTCTGGCAGGGCTGAAACCACTGAAAAGGAGAGTTTGAGCAGGACACAAATATCAAAACCAAAACAAAGCCTGGAGGCAGCGTCACTGCTTCGGGTCATGGGGGTGAAACTCTGAGCAGGGGCTGAGGAATTCGTGTCTCTGCTCTGGCTCTGACTCACAGCACTTCCCCTCGGAGTTTCTCCCAGCAGACAGGGAAGTACTGACACTAATAATGAGAAAAGGTGTTAAAAGTATCTACTAGAACTTCTATTTTTAGATCAGCAGGGCTGGGGAACTTGCAGCTTAAAAATAATTACCTGAGTGAGGAGCTACAGGGTGCAGGGAAGGGAATTTTTAATGGAGCTTGGAGAGCCCAGGACTGGGATGTGGATATTCCAACAGCGAGGAAAGACAACTTAAATAAGAGAAGCTCTGGGGTGACCTGATTGTGACCTTCCATCACCTAAAGAGGACAACAGGGAAGATGGAGAGACACCATTTCCAAGGGCCTGGAGAGACAGGACAAGGGGGTGAGGTGGGGAGGGCCTGGCCCAGGTTGCCCAGAGAAGCTGTGGCTGCCCCTGGATCCCTGGAAGTGCCCAAGGCCAGGTTGGACGGGGCTTGGAGCAGCCTGGGATAATGGGAAGTGTCCCTGCCCGTGGCAGGGGGTGGCTCTGGATGGGCTTTGAGGTCCCTTCCCACCCAAACCACTCCAATATTTCTGACTGTCTGATCTGGCCCTGCCATCAGTTCACTCAGAGCCACAGAAATGCTGACCCAGGACCCAACCCCTGACACAGGTGACACAGGAGCTGCAGAACTCCATGGAAATCCTGACAAAAGGGGCTGATTTGGTTATTTGAATGTACAACAGGTTTGGCTTCTAAAGGGAACTGCACAGATGTGAGAGGTTTTCACAGCAGAGGATTTACCCACAACATCCTCATTACCCAGTTACCACAGGAGGAAACAAATCCACAGAGGAAGAGCTGGATGGCTGAGAGCCTGCAAAAGGCACAGAAAGGAAAGCAGGGATGGAGAGCAGTGAAGGCCCTGCTGTGACTCTGCACCAGCTGCTGAGGGGCAGGGAAGGATTCCACACAGGGCTTGTTCTTCTCAAAGTTAAAAAAAAAAAACCCAAAACGTTAAAAATCTGAAGAAGGCAAAGAAACCATCCCTGAAAAGGCTGGAGCAGAGTGTTGTGAGGGGCCCAGCAGAGCTCTACCTGTCCCACTGCTTTAAACCCACCCGTGAGAAGTGCCCTGGCTGAGCTGAGGGAGGACCTGAGCAGGCAGAACACAGGGGGTGCAAAAGTGCTCCTGGATTTCAGGGAGGGAGAACCAAGGGGTGCAAACTGAGTCAGAACTGAAAAACCAGGCATAGATTTCTAACTGCTCGAGCAAAATTTGCATCGGCAGGGAATTTTCCACTTCTGATCTCTCCAGCTCCAGACCAGATGTCTTTCTGGAAGATGCTTTAATCAAGAGGCTGCCAGGCTCCACAGACAGCTCAGGGGGGGAAAGGCAAACAGCCACATCATGTAGGACCAAGTAATTCCAGCAGTCACAGCTCACAGGACAGCTGAGGAGGTCTCAGAACAGGGTCAAAACCTCAGACCAGGCTGCTCAGGGCTTTGGCCACGTCGGGCCTTGGAAACCTCCAAGGATGGAGATGGTGCAGCCCCTGTGGGCCCTCATCCCACTGCTTGGGCACCCTCATGGGGACAGAGCTCTTCCTTATACCCAGTCCTAGTTGCTGGATAAAGTTCTTAAACAAATTTGGGAGCTACAGGAGAGCTGGAGAGGGACTGGGGACAAGGCATGGAGGGACAGGACACAGGGAATGGCTTCCCACTGCCAGAGGGCAGGGAGAGATGGGATATTGAGAATAAATCCTTCCCTGTGAGGGTGGTGAGGCATTGGCAGTTTGCCCAGAGAAGCTGTGGCTGCCCCTGGATCCCTGGAAGTGTCCAAGGCCAGGTTGGACGGGGCTTGGAGCAACCTGGGCTGGTGGGAGATGTCCCTGCCCATGGCAGGGGGTGGGATGGGATGAGCTTTAAGGTCCCTTTCAACCCAAGCTTTTCTGGGATTTCTGGGATTTTGAAAGTCAGACCTTAACTGGCTGAGCAGGGAAAACACAGAGTGCAGAGCCCCTGGCTTAAGGAACTTCCCAAATCCCACACGTGCCCACCTGCCCAGGGAAATGAGGGAAACCAGGCCCCTCTGGGGAGGTTCTGATCATCACCTCCTGTACAGACATCCCAAACCAGGCCCCTCTGGGGAGGTTCTGATCATCACCTCCTGTACAGACATCCCAAACCAGGCCCCTCTGGGGAGGTTCTGATCTTCACCTCCTGTACAGACATCCCAAACCAGGCCCCTCTGGGGAGGTTCTGATCATCACCTCCTGTACAGACATCCCAAACCAGGCCCCTCTGGGGAGGTTCTGATCATCACCTCCTGTACAGACATCCCAGCCCTGGGATGCAAGGGTAGGGGTAGGAATTCCTACCCAGGATAAAGGGTAGGGGTAGGAATTCCTACCTCAGGATTCAACCCAAGCTGAGGGGTTGTTGCACTCTGGAGTCACAGGCACTGAGAATTCACTGTCACTTCCCAGTGCAGACCAGCTCCAAATTTTCCTGGAATCATCAGGATGTGCCTGTGGCTGATCTATATCCCACCCTGCCCCTGGCACTGTCACTGCTCCATCTCTCTCCCACCCCCACAGCACCTTCAGGGCACCTTGTCTTAGATCAGAACCCCTTTAAGGCCAAGGCTTTGCCGTTTGACTCACTGGCTCTTGTTTAACTTAAAGAAGGGGAAGAATAAAGGAGTAACAGTATTTCAGACTGCAGTATTTCATCATCTGGGAGCTCAGCTGAGGGAGGACTCCACAAAAACAATGAAGGACCCTGGTCAGGAACCCAAACAATGACGGGTGCTGCAGATCAGAGCTGACACATCACCCCCAGAGCAAACCCCAGACATGGCAGGGGCTGTGCAGGGTCACCCCCTGGATCAGCCCCACGGCCCTGGGGAGTCACATCCTGCCCTGCAGGAACTACAGCTCCCAGTTTATTTCCCAGTTACAGTTGAAAAAACAGAACTGGTGCCCAGATCAGGTCCCAGTTACCAAATCAAACACTTCTTCAAACCCTTCCAAACCTTGGGTTCTCCACACTTCAACCACATGAACCTGAAAACCCTTTCACCACCTGCACCTCCACACAGAGCCAGCATGGAAATGGCTTTTTGCAAACTCCTCCTATTCCCCATGAGGTGTTTTATAAGGTGTGACAGCAAAGCAGGGATCCCAGAGCCAGGGGAGGGAGGGAGGGATGTGCTGCCTTTCCCACAGGAGGTTCCTTACTTTGAGCAGCTTCATCAGCCCTTCCAGCTGCACCATCAGTTCTCTTCTGCTCTCCTGAAGTGCTGACATCCTCTGCTCCAGCTCATCCTTCCTCTGCCTGTTCAGGTCACATGGAAGAAAGAGGCAGAAAACAAACAAACTTGGGGTATTTCAAACCAGCCCAGGGAGCTCACCCGTGTAACGGGGTCTGTGGTTCCCACCATCCCCTGCTCCCCATCTAAAAACCCAGAGCAAGGCCCAGCACAGTGCCCATGAACCTGAAGATGACAATACCCCGTTCACTTCAAACCCAGAGACGTGTCCTCAGCCCCTGGCCCAGGGGAGCCCTTCTCAGGGCACTGCATTTTGAGGAAAAAACCCACTTTTTTCTTCCTTTTAAGGACCCCGAGCTGTCGGAGCCTGGCATCCTGTGGAGTGCTCAGACAAGCCAGGATGGACCACGGGAGGAAAGACAAGAGAGGGGGGAAAACAAGAGGAGGACAGGCTGCAGATGTTTGGGGAGGAAGAGCTGTGCCTGTCTGGAGGAGACTCAGCAGAGCTATTTCTGAGCCGTGACGGATCAGCCGGGACACGCTCGCTGCGCCAGCACCAGGTAACAACAGCGGCAGATAAGGAGTGACCTTCCCTTTCCTTGGCAGCTGAAAACCTGTCTGGGAGCTATTTGAGGAAATATGACTGTGTGGTTTGATTTCAGATTCCAAAAAAGAAAGCAGTGACTAATAGAAGGAGCAGCTCAAAGACGGACGTCAGCCCGGCGGAGGTTCCGTGTCCCGGGCGACTTAAGAGATGCCAGGACCCACAAAGCCCAGTCACAGGTGATGAGACAAAACCCTGGGGAAAAGCAGGTTAGAAAGGCTCCTTTATTCGTCCACAGTTATTTTTGTGGACACCAGAATGCCTTAATCCCAAGTTAAAGCATCACCTATTACAGACTGAACCTCCAAAGGTCTCCGATCGGATCTGTGTTCTCACGCGACTCACTCTGGATAAATCATTCTGGGGGTTTCAGGAACAGACCAGTTCTTTAAAGGACAGAAGACTGTGAAACATTAACCACCCTGGATGCTTCTTTCAACATCTTCTTGTATTTTATCAAATTAAGCAGCCTTCTAGAATCTGAAGGAAGCCGGAGAGGGACTGGAGGATCCACAGGAACTGGAGGGACAGGACAAGGGGGAATGGCTGCCCACTGCCAGGGGGTTAGCTGGGATATTGGGAAGGAATTGTTGGCTGTGAGGGTGGT